CTCTTTTTTTTCAAAGACTGGAATTTTTGGGAGTGGTTTAAAGGGGATGAGTTTTTAGCTATGTTTTTTGCAAATGCATCAGCAATTTCAGTTATAGACGAGAAAATTTTGTTTTTATTAATGAGGTGGGAGGATGTTGCCTTTTTCTTTTTCCCACTTATTTTCCGAATCATATCCCATACTTTTTTTGAGGACGTGTTTGATGATATCTTGGATACATATTCTCTCCAGCTGTTTCTTTTGTCAATTTTAATTGATCGCCGAGCCTTTGCCCGCCAAATTTTAAATTCACTGTAGTTTGAAGCAGTTGGGCAATTGAAGTAGCGTCTTAGAGCAGCTGCCCGATTACTGCGTGTTTTAAAAGATTCTTCAGATAAAAGGAACTTCGTAGGTTTTGGAGCGGATTTTGGAATTGTCTTTTGGGCAATAGAAGTGAGTGTTTCAGTAAAAGTTTTGATAGGGTCGTCGAGGTTAGTAAAATTGTCTATGGTTAGTTTTTCAATGCACATGTGTTGGAATTGGGCCCAATCTGCTTTGTGCATATTCCATCGAGGTAGAGGATCATCAAGAGGAGTCCCAATATTCTGAAGAAAAATTGGGAAGTGGTCACTCCCACAAAGATCATCATTTACCCTCCAGTCATAGTCAAGTAAAATGGATGGATGGCATAATGATAGATCAATGTGGGTACGAGAGCCTGTAGCAGGGTGTAAATAAGTAGGGGTATTGTTGTTAAAAAGGCACAAGTTGTTTTTATCTATAAATTCCTCAATACGTCTTCCTCTCTCGTCTGTGTTGGGAGAGCCCCACAGGCTATTATGACCATTAAAATCACCGAGGATTATGAATGGTGTTGGGAGCTGGGAGACGAGATTATTGAGTTGCTCACAAGTGAAAACAATACTCGGAGGGAGATAAATTGAACAGACAGTTATTTGTCGGTGTAATGTTGCACAGACAGCAACAGCCTGTAAATTTGTGTTTAACTTGATCATTCTGTGAGGAATATTTTTATGGACAGCTACCGCTGCGCCACCTGCTGCTCTGCTAACTACAGTTGGAATATTAGTGTAGAGTGAGAAATTTCTAAGCGTGATTGGGTTTTTGAGCATGATTTCTTGAAGACAAAAAATGGCGGGTCTAAATTCTTTTGATAGATTCTGAAATTCTTCTATATTTGCCTTTAATCCGCGGATGTTCCATTGGATAATTGTGTTATTTATCTTTTGTTATTTTGGCTGGATTTCGATGGAGTTGAAGCACGAAGCGCGGAGGCATTCGTCTCCATCTCATCATCGAAATCTAGTAGGACATTGAACCGGTTTGTCGGGTCCTCTGATCCTTTGCCAAAGGTGACATTCAGATCCGGTCCTTCGGATTTGCCCCTCGCTATTTTAATTTTTTTCCTAGGTCTGTTGGTGGGTGATGTTGTCTCTGGTTTCAGTTGGGATCGAGGAACAGATGTGAGTGAGCGAGATCGCTGCGAACGCACATGTGCCCTAGATGTGCCAACCTTTGGAGGCTTTTCTCCTGAAGAGGAAAGTAGTGTAAATGTTTTGGCTCACCTGGCACCAAATGTCTGTGAGCTTTATAGTATGATACAGGATCCTTCAACCCATCAACAGTTTTCTTTGAAGAACCTCTTGGAAACTGAAATACCCTGGGTCCTGATATCTAACAGGTAGAGACCTGGGATAGTGATGTGAGGTTTCTTCATATAAAGGATCTTTACTTACTTTCAAGGTCACATGGATCAAATATGGTAAAAACTTAGGCAACCATACAGTCTTTAAGTAATGATACATGGGTATGATATAACCAACAGTGGAAATCTCTCACATATTGTGTACATGTTTATAGATCACAGGACAACCTTTGAGTGCTGGCTGTGGTCAAAGTTTAGCAGGGACTAAAAAGGTCAAATTGTTCAGTTATACCTAGGGTCATGCTATTTAATTTGGTCAGTAGGTATCGGGGATAAATTGCTATAAACTTTCCATGTATGAATTACCTTGACCTAGTTTCAATGGCACAAGGTTCAAATATGTTGAAAACTTCAAGCAACATTTTTAGTTTGCTTTCATAAATTAACGAGAGCTATTGCGATCCATCTTGGTCGTTGTGCATTAACAATTTACATTTACAACCTCTTCTTTAGAAATACTGAACAGATTGACTTGAAACTTTGTGCAAATGCCCCGGAGACATTTTCTAATTGTTCTCAAGAATGGCTGAAGTGATTGACTTTATACTTGATACACGTTTCTTACGAAGTCCTCAACAAGTGTTATTACTTTTCGTGCTGATCCGACATTTTCGATCTCTTTTCAAAAATGGCTGAAGCGAAAGACTTAACCTTGGTATAAACGTAACTTATGAAACCCTAGCAAGTGTTATTTTTTTCTTGCCAATTTAAAATCCAAGATGTCTACTCTAGCAACCAAATGGCCGAGACACTTTCTTACTCAAGAATAGCTGTACCAATTGACTCAAAATTTGGTACAAAAAGTTTCTCAGGAGTCCCCAACAAGACAATAAGTGTTCTTACTTTAGCGCTGATCCAAAATATTCAAAAAGGCTACCCCAGCATCCGACTGTGAAAGACATTTTCGACTTCTCAAGAGTGACTGAAGTGACTGACATCTAACTTGGTACATGGTGTTTTTGAGTACCCAACAAGTTTTTTTTTTACGTTTGTGCTGATTTTTAAATCCAAGGTGGCTGCCCTAATATCAGATTTGCTGTAACTCTTTCGACTTCTTCTCAAGAATGGCTGCACTGATTGACCTTAAACTTTGTACAAATGTCCCAAACAAGTGTTGTTGCATTCCGTGAAAATCCATGATTACCACAGTGACTTCTGATTGGCCGAGACATTTTTTATTTGTATTCATGTGAGCATTATCGAGCGTTTGGCCTCTTTTCTGGAGAAAAAGTCAGGTATGTAAAGCAGCAGTCGAAATGTTTATACTAATATTTTGTGTTTAGGTCAAAGTTCAACTTTGAGTGCTGGCTGAGGTCAAAGGGTAGCATGCATGGTCTATAATGGGTAAAAGGCTTTTAAAATCTTATCCTTTAATTCCATAAGGCCCATGGTCATGAATTTTAGAAGTGCCTCTTATCATAATGTCTGTCAAATTTTTGATTGGACAACTGCTTCTTGAAAATTAAAAGATCAATGGTCCTGATCTTTGGCCAGTTTGAACCTGGGATTGAGTGCTATAACGTCATCTAAAATATCTCAAGAATCATGGGGTTACACTACCTACTGATTTTGAACTAAAACCCAAATAGCATGTACATATGAAATACAATTTACCCTCATTAAAATCAATACTGCAAACCAGCATGCTACTGGCCAAATATCAATACCATAGACTTCTTGTTTATACCGAAGTTTTTAACACATTTATCTACGACATATAAAGAGACCAAGGTAATATATTTGAAGAAACTATCTAACAATTCAGTATGTAATGTTATTCGTGCAAGCTGACCTAAAATGTCTTGTACTGCTGGTATTAGATGTCATACCCAAGTATCATTGCTCCTGCTCTACTGGTTTAGAAAATCAATAATTGACCCTGTGACCTTAAAAGTAGGTCATTAACCTAGGCCTTTCTCTGGTCAAATATCATCAACCTAGGCCTTTCTCTGGACAAATATCATCAACCCAGGCCTTTCTCTGTTCTAATATCAGCAACATAGGCCTTTCTCTTATTCAGAAGTATGCAAATAAGAACAAGAGGCCCATGGGCCTATACAGTCATCTGACTACAAAGACTGAGCAGAATGATAACTTTTCAACTTTCAAGGAAATATTCTAAGAATTTGTTTTCCATGATGGTAGTTTTGGTCAGCAGTGGTTACCTATTTGTCAGTAAAGCTATCAGAAAGCATTTAAACTTAAATCTGAATAGATTTATCTTTTTAAGGCCCCGTCCTGCTGTCAACGGTGGTTAAACCTGCCTCAGTGATATCAGAAATGATTGTTTCTAAATGATGTTTCATACTGAAATTGTTACAAAATGGCCATCATGGCTGCCATGTTGAAGTTTTGACAGGGCTGAAAAATAACAACACTTTGTCGGCTACCTTTCCTTAACATCCCCACCAATTTTTAGCTCAATGGCACCAGTGGAGCTGCAGAAGAAGTTTTAAAATGTGTTTTTTATGATGGTGGCCATCTTGGATTTTGGACCGACCCGAAAAATAACAACACTTGGTCAGGACCATCTCAGGTTCATTTCAGCTCAATCCCACTGGTAGAACTTCAGAAGTTTAAAATGTTGAAAGTTAACAGACACGCACAGCAGACGACGACGGATGAAGCACGATGACTATAGGTCATCCCGACCCATTGCGTCAGATGACCTAAAAATACAGTACGTATGGCTTAACATTGTCAAGGAAATATTTGGTGAATTGTCATGCCCAGTAACATTAGTTGACAAATATCTTGTTTGAATAACACCAGAATTGCTATGTTATGAACTATCAGAAACACAATCAGATAAGATTACTATGAAGAAGACAAATTTAAGGAATACACTGGAGTCTTTTAATCAATGTTGTTTTGTAATTTGTCTTTGAATAGAGGATATGTATTATTTCTCAATGACCTCGAGAAACAGCAAGGCTCACATTATTCCCAATCCCATTTTTTTTCTGGAACATCACATGACAAACTGTATCGTGAACTTGATTGGTAAACACTTGCAGCAAGATGGTATGTACCATCAGAAATGAATTATGTATAAAATAATGCATGGCCCCAACGCCACAGTATAGACAAGAACTCATAAAGCCATAGGTACAACCCAACTTACAATCCTCATTCTGTATGACAAAAGGGGCATTTTTATCAACCTCTTTATGGAACAAATAATTTCAGAAACACTAAATGATTTTATCAGCGGTAAGGCTGGTTGATGCATGTTGTTGATTTTGACAAAACAAGTTGCAAATCAGTATGACCAAAGAAAAGACAACTCTGTATAATCATGACGGAAGAATCCTCTCCCATTGCATTTATTGACATCTTATGTGTATCTATACCGCTACAGTATGTGATTTTATACCATTGAAGTAAAATGTATATCTGATCATTACTTTATGTTTCAATTTGTACTTAAGGTTAAAACAACGAAACTACCCAGAGGTGTTTGTTTCATTTACCAGATTAACATTGCCTGTGCGTACGTGTAATGATCCGCCACACAAAGATATTTTTCTGTATGTAATTACTGAATTAATCAAATTCAGACAAATAAAAAATACCTATACTTTGTATAATAAATATTTCATCCAGAAAGATTTTATTTCAAACATTGTCCATGAAAATGAACTTTCAATGACAGACTATATTTTAACATTAGTCTTGCACAAGCCCCTAGTGTCTTATGAGAGACTTGTAAACACAGGCTCCAGGTATTAGCATTATTTTAAGACTGAATTATCCCATGTAATCAAACAAGAAACAACCCTAAAACAATGAGTATCTATTCCGTTAAAGTATAATGTGTATTATCCAATATAGACATAGGGATTTGAATGGATAACATAAACTCAGTAATTTCAAAACATGAATGATACACGTAGCATGTAAACAATCTAGAATTACATGTTCTTTCTCATTCATTTTCAAAGAGCAAACATCTATATCAAATATCAACATCATTACATGGATATGATGGCAGACAGGTTTTGCCGGTTACACACGTATTACTTGTAATATCTATATAGAACACTGTTACCATGACACGTTACACCTGCTATTGCTATAGTCCATACACAATCAAGTGGCTAGCACAACTAGACCATATATTTTCTGAAATATAAATCAATCTTTCATTGGCCAATTTTGATGTTTCAAAGAACAAACAAATCATAAAATTTTATCTGAAATATGATTAAAAATTATCGTTTTTTTCTATCCTTTATGTTCCTGAGTATTCAATCGGGCTTAATAAAGGGGATAGAAGATGATTGGCACCCTACAACTAGCCTCGAGTGATAGAAGATGATTGGCATCCTACAACTAGCCTTGAGTGATAGAAGATGATTGGCACCCTACAACTAGCCTCGAGTGATAGATGATTGGCACCCTGAAACTAACCTTGAATGATAGAAGATGATTGGCACCCTACAACTAGCCTTGAGTGATAGAAGATGATTGGCACTCTACAACTAGCCTCGAGTGATAGAAGATGATTGGCACCCTGAAACTAACCTTGAATGATAGAAGATGAAGGATGTTATGAGGACCAAGAGGATGAGTTATGGTTTCTATAAATAGAAGCACTTAGGAGGGGGAATTGTGTTACAACATGTCACACGCTCTCTAATGTGTCCAATACAAAACAAAACATTGTTTATTTGACTCTAAAGTCAGATGTTTAGGAATGCTATTAATTTCATCAGAACTACCATTCCATTGATCAGATTAAATACCCGACTCTTCTCATTGCAGGTTTACAATGTTCCGCAAGAGAAACAAATTATCCAGTTCATCAAAAGGATATGACATAATTTGAATATTTTACATGGATATTCTGTTTTATAAAATCAATTCATTGAGAATACTTATTAATTTTGTAGTATATGAATACAACATCTAGCCAATATTTGTTCTACTCTATTTGTCTTGTGTAATGCTGGACAGACATTTCACTCTTTTGACAAAGATTTTCTGAAGTTGGATCTCAGACCAGTTATGGATGACATTTTGGTGTAAACAAAACGAAAACAAATGTACTGATGGTAAAATCAAACAGAACATATTTTATATAAAATACCTTCAAAACCTTATTCACGATGTTTCCTTTCCTACAAAAAAATGTTCGACAAGTTTAAAACTCATGTGATGAATACCTATGTTGGTAGAATTTCAGTGTCCTTATCACTTGGTACTTTTTCACTCAAAAAGGAAAACCCTTTAACAAATGACAAGGACTGTTTTATAAAAGTGTCCAGCTGTATTATAGAGTATCAATACATCCAGAGTAATTTGATAAATCAAGGTTAAACAACAGTAATCCCTGTAAAATTACTGCAATGTTAAAAATATACATAGCATATATCATGATCTCATTGGCTCATTTAAAACAATTGTTATTCCATAAACATGAAAATACATGATTTTAAATACTACAAGTCTTTCTGATTTGAAATGAACACAAGAACAGCAAAATTACTGCACATATTTTTGTTGCTGCACTGTTTTCAATGGATAACAAATATGTATCATCAGCAATAGTTTAGATTTAGCTTTTTTATGGCTTAAGATGACAAATCACATACATAATATATACCATCCTAGTGCTTATATAAGGAAGTTAAAACAATGCTTTAACAAAGGTAACGCTAGATTGGACTGAACCATGATAAACCAGAGTAACAGTAGTGTCCAGAGTCGGGTAACAGTAGTATTTGTCTAGAGTCGGGTAACAGTAGTATTTGTCTAGAGGCGGGTAACAGTAGTATTTGTCTAGAGTCGGGTAACAGTAGTATTTGTCCAGAGTCGGGTAACAGTAGTATTTGTCTAGAGGCGGGTAACAGTAGTATTTGTCTAGAGGCGGGTAACAGTAGTATTTGGACACCTACAACAGAGTGTTTAAGTAGCACAAATTGACACAAGTTTTAACACAAAACTATAATGAAGCGTTGCCTTACATAGCTCAGCAGACATCAAAATGGATCCTTTCTTACTCACACCAGTACTTGTTTATCAACAAACTCTAAAATATATTTCAAACTTTTCAGTTCAGTATAAATAATTAACTGTAAGCAATAACATTTACACATTTTTTAAAACTTACTTGACTGAGTAAATCACACATGCTTATCATATATTCTTCAAATACAAATATTTATAATCATCACATCCTTTGTATTAAAAGCCAGTACACAAACTGCTCTGCAGTCGTCCATCCCACGGCCAAACACCGGACAATCAGTAACTATTTGCACTTTTCCCAATCAATCTACAAATGCCCTCTACAGGTACTACTTCCCTTAAGGAGATAACTGTACACATTCTGTCCTATTCACCAAGCATTCATGTCCAACATTTTTCAATTCAGTGAACAAAAAACAAAGCATCTGAACAACAAAAATCGCAAGATTCTGTGACAAAATCTGATTTGAAAATTTTCCAAGAATTGAGACCAATCCTAGGCAAACTTGTCTTAGAGACCAATCCAGTCTGGTAGGACTTTGTCTGAGACCAATCCAGTCTGGTAGGACTTTGTCTGAAACCAATCCAATCTGGTAGGACTTTGCTCGAGACCAATCAAGTCTGGAAGGACTTTGTCTGTGACCAATCCAGTCTGGTAGGACTTTTCTCACAACCAATCCATTCTGGAAGGTATTTGTCTGTGACCAATCCAGTCTGGTAGGATTTTGTCTGTGACCATTTCAGTCTGGAAGGACTTTGTCTGTGACCAATCCAGTCTGGTAGGACTTTGTCCGAGACCAATCCAGTCTGGTAGGACTTTGTCTGAGATCAATCCAGTCTGTCAGGATTTTGTCTGTGACCAATCCAGTCTGGTAGGACTTTGTCTGAGACCAATCCAGTCTGTTAGGATTTTGTCTGTGACCAATCCAGTCTGGTAGGATATTGTCTGAAACTAATCCAGTCTGGTAGGACTTTGTCTGTGACCAATCCAGTCTGGTAGGACTTTGTCTGAGACCAATCCAGTCTGTTAGGACTTTGTCTGAAACCAATCCAGTCTGGTAGGACTTTGTCTGAAACTAATCCAGTCTGGTAGGACTTTGTCTGTGACCAATCCAGTCTGGTAGGACTTTGTCTGAAACCAATCCAGTCTGGTAGGATTTTGTCTGTGACCAATCCAGTCTGGTAGGACTTTGTTCAAGACCAATCCAGTCTGACAGGACTTTGTCCGAGACCAATCCAGTCTGGTAGGACTTTACTCAAGACCAATCCAGTCTGGTAGGACTTTGTCTGTGACCAATCCAGTCTGACAGGACTTTGTCCGAAACCAATCCAGTCTTGTAGGACCTTGCTCGAGACCAATTCAAGGCAAAATCTGGTACAATTTTGGCCAAGAACAAACTGAAGCAAAGGCTGGTGCAGCTCTGCAGAAGACCAATCCATAGTTAATTCAAGATCAATACAAGGCTAAGTGTAATCTTGCTATCAGTGCTTGTGATACTTGGCTGATGATGAGTGACCAGTGTGCTGGAAGTAGCTGCGGTTGTTGTCTCTGTGTCGATGTTCGCTATGATAGCTATGGAAGTGAGGACCGTTGGAAGATTTGTGGTGAGACCCGTTGGTGCCGTTGTTGTAACCATTGTTATAGTGGGAGCTCCCCTCATGTGATCCCTTCCACTGAACAAAACAATCACTGCATATTAACTTAACAAGACAATAAAACACTCAATGTAAGTATTAATGTATCACTTCTACAACTACATCCATTGAGCTCGAGACCACTGAATTCTTTCACCCTAGTAATTTCAATGTTATTACTTTATATGAACAAAAAAACACTGCAAACATTATTCACGTCTTATGACTTTTACCTGACAACGTAAATTTATTTGACCTGTAACTGTAAACTTTGGGCATGAAAGTACTAGCTATTTCTTCTATGTCTTACTTATAGCTGCCTTGATTCTGAGGACATTACTGAAATAAAGGTTGTCTAGATATGCTGTCAGAACGACATTTTATCAGGAAGCTTATTGTGTAGTAGAATGTCCTATCTATTACCATTAACACTAGTAAAATACAATTCTGTTAAATTGATTCTACTCACTCTGTTCCTATACATATGGGACAATTCTGTTAAGTTGATTCTACTCACTCTGTTCCTATACATATGGGAAAATTCTGTTAAGTTGATTCTACTCACTCTGTTCCTATCCTGGTTGCGATCATCTTGCATCTTTTGGAAGTTGTTATTGGGCAAGAAATTAAAGTCAGCATAATTCTTTTTTACTTTCTTCACCTAAAAATAAAAAAGAACGAAAATCAGAATTTATAAGACAGCAATATCTGAAGTGAAGTGGTTTAGTTTTATGGATTTTGTATTGTTTAACGGCCCATCGACAATGCGAGTCATTTAGGGCCAAACAACACTGTGAAAAGAGAGACATTGACGAAAATAAACACATCAAACCAAAACTTAAAAGCTTAAAATATGTAAAGGATTAGAGAAATACATCAATATCGAACAAATTTGCAGCACAATATATCATATTTTATTGTAAAGATCAATACAGTGTAAATAGTCATATGTTAATTGCACAGAAACTGTATCAAATAATCTTTTCATACACGGTACATCATAAAATCTGTCACGTATTTGTTTGAAATCAGCGCATTGAATCATAAAATGTTTGACAGTAAATGGTTAACCACATGCATGACAATAATGCTGGTCTTCCTTACGCAAAATGTAGCCATGCGTTATGTAGGTATGGCCTTTGCACAAGTCGTGAGTGGACAGGTTCGTCTCGACGTCTGCTCTACTTGTTGCACATGAACCCACATTAGGTTGAATTGCAAATAACTTGCTGTTTAATTCTTCAGACCATTTATTTTGCCAATTCGTTTTGATTTGTTATAGAAGGTTTAAAATCAGAAAAAGGCAGTTTAACATCTTTTGGTTGTAGGTTAAGGACTGCTTTAGCAACTTTATCTAGCTTCTCATTTCTGTTTATTCCGACATGACCTGGTATCCAAATCAAGATCGGGTGGCTAACAATAAAATTCTGTTAATACGAAAGATGATGTTTCGTATGAGAATGTTGTTCAAATTCCGATTTTTAATACTTTGTAATAGTGAAATTGGAAGAAGAAAAAGGTGACAAGATATGACCTAAAATGTCATCCATATTATGGTACAAAACAGGTCACAGTATCTGAAAGTCTAGACTGTGCAGTATATTTATAGCAGCAACTCCTGATAAAAGATTGTCCGAGTTGAATAACTGTCACGTCGGTGCAATGTCAAACCAGGCTGCTTTATAACAACATAGCAATTATTGCAAAAGAACAAGAGGCCCATGGGCCTTAACGGTCACCTGATATATTTATACAGAGAGTTGATTTTGTTTTTAAAATGAACAGAAATATTATTCAAAGTGACAAAAAACAATAAAACCACCCTACTCAATATCTAGCATACAGATTTCAGACTAAAAAGGATTTGAAACTAGCACCTCTGATTCTTAACAAGGAAAATGAAGAAATTTTAGCACACTGACTCCTTTGAGCCCCACCCTACAGCCCTTGGGGGTAGGGCTGGCTCAAAATTTTCAAAGTATCAAACTGTCAATTCAAGGTTATAATTCCAATCAAGTTATTAACATGTAATATTCAAAG